GTGCCGTGGGCTGGAGCTCTTGCCCAGAGGACCCTAGCCTGGGGCGTGGGGGCCACTTTGCTTTCTCTGACCCTAGGCTGCTTCTGCATAGTTAGGAGATGGGGTCTTTGTTGAAGGTGTGGGTTAAATGCTGTGTGGGGTGCTTAGCACGGTACTGAGTGTTTCGTAAGCGCTCAGTAAATAGAGGCCAGGGCAGGGGCCAGCGGATATTGCTGGAGAATGTGTGGAAGTTATGAGCAGCAGGAGGGCCCTGCAGGGACCCAAGATTTCAGCCAAAGGAACAAAGAGCTAATTGTGAGAAACCCGGGTGTCAGTCAGCACAGGGAGACACGCCACCCTGCTCACCTCCCGGAGGGAGCCAGTGCCCCGGGCTCCCTGTGCCAGCCGAACCCAGGTGGGTGGGGCCGGGGGCTCGTCAACCGTGAGGGTCTGGAGGACATCTTTTCTGAAGTGTCTCAGTCCTGTGGTTCTCTTCTGGGGTCAGGGGTCTTCTCGGGTGTCTGGTAGCCCGACCCTCTGCCCGCCCCCGAGGTTGGCTTTGCACCTCAGCTGGCGGTGCTGAGCGTGCCGCTGTGCTCACAGGACCGGGGCTTCTGCGTGGAGGTGAGCACAGCCTTTGAGGACTTCGCCCACGTCATAAGCTTTGACAAGAGGGCTGCTGCGCTGGATGCAGGCAACATCAAGCTCACCTTCAATAGTGTGAGGGGCTGGACAGGGTGGGGTGGAGTGGGCCCCTCGTGGTCTGACCCTTAGCACTCACTGTCCCCATTGGGTGAGTCAGCAGGGGGGCGGGGGTGACAGTAGGGGCCGGAACCCCAACCTCCTAAGGTACCACAGGGGACCCAAGCATACCCCCCCTCGCCCCCCATCCCGGGTGACCCTGTTCCTCGCTTCCTGCTGTCAGCTGCTGGAGAAGGCCGAGGCCCGGGAGAGAGAGCGCGAGAAGGAGGAGGCGCGAAGAGCACGGCGCCGGGAAGCAGCCTTCCGGAGCATGCTGCGGCAGGCCGTGCCTGCGGTGGAGCTGGGCACCGCCTGGGACGAGGTCAGGGCCGCCACCCCCGCCGGGTCCCCGCCTCAGCCGCGACCTGCCCTGTGCTCACGGCCTCCCTGACATGCGGATGTGCTAATCAGTAGCGTGCTCGTCCCCGTTCAAGGTCCGTGAACGTTTTGTGTGCGACTCGGCCTTCGAGCAGATCACGCTGGAGTCGGAGCGGATCCGGCTCTTCCGGGAGTTCCTGCAGGTACTGGAGGTGAGGCGGTGCTTCTCCTCTGTCTGACCCGCGCGTGACCACCTGAGGGCAGCTGAGCAGGGGCCTCACCCCTGGGCCTCTCCTTTTGTGGAATAACTGGAGGTGAGGTCTCAGGGTACCCCAGGATAGACCTAAGGCCCTGGGAGGAGGTAAAACCGGATTTTAGGATGCAAGGTCCTTGCTAGGGCTAACCCTAACCCTTCCTCACCCCTCCCCCTGCCTCTGCCAGACCGAATGCCAGCACCTCCACACCAAAGGCCGAAAACATGGCAGAAAGGGCAGGAAGCACCACCGCAAGCGTTCCCACTCGCCCTCAGTGAGTTGGGGGATGGAGGGCATGCGGGCGAGGCTGGGCTGTCTTGGGGGAGAACCACTTTTCTTGTTCTGTGGTAATTCATCTTCCCTGGAGATTTGGGGACCACCTTGCCCCTGGACCCCCTCTGTACCCCCAGGCTGGAGGACTTTGATGGGACAGAGAGCCCCCGCTGACATGTCTGCTGATCTGCCTAGGGCTCCGAGTCAGAGGAGGAGGAGCTGCCCCCACCACCTCTCCGGCCCCCCAAGCGTAGAAGGCAGAACCCCTCAGAGTCAGGCTCAGAACCCTCTTCCTCACTTGATTCGGTTGAAAGTGCGGGTGCTGTCCCTGGAGGACGGGGCTCCCCATCTTCCCACCTGCTCCTTGGATCCGGTAAGCAGTTGGTGAGGTGCTGGCCCAGAGTGAGAGGAAGCCCCTGACGTGTGGGGGCAGGGCGGGTTGGGAGGCCGCACCTGTCAGTGGGGTGCAGGAGTTGGGGAAGCAAAACTGAACTTCCTCAACGTGTCTGAGGAGCGAGCACTGGCTGTGGTAGAGAAAAGGCGGCTTCCTCCCTTCTCCCACAGGACTTCGGCTTTTTCTCTCCCCAGATCATGGCCTTCGGAAAGCCAAGAAACCAAAAAAGAAAACGAAGAAGAGAAGACACAAGTCGGTGTGTAGAGAAGGAACTTCTGTCCAAGGCCCTGCCATTTTGAGATCTCTTCCACCCGCCTCCCGGGCTGTCCTTCACAGGAACTGAGGAGGCGGGCTCTGGGCTCTTACAGAACAGTCCTGAGAGCGAGACAGACCCCGAGGAGAAAGCTGGCAAGGAGAGTGATGAGAAAGAACCAGAGCAGGACAAGGACAGGGCGCTCCGGCGGGCAGAGCGCCCTAACCGCTCTCCAGGCTTTGGAATCAAGAAGGAGAAGGTGAGAGGCAGGCACCGGGCCCCGGCCCTGTCAACGCTCTGACGAGGCCTCCACGGCCCTGGGGAGGCTTTGGGTGAGCTGTGCCTTTGCTCCACCAGACGGGCTGGGACACGTCCGAAAGTGAGCTGAGCGAGGGCGAGCTGGAACGGCGGCGGCGGACGCTCCTGCAGCAGCTGGACGACCACCAGTGACCCGGCGGGCCGCCCTGCCTCGGGTCTGCGGCCGCGGCGCCCGGCTCTCCCTCGCCACCTGCCCCAGGCTCTTTCCTCGGTTCGGTCTAGTCCGCTCTTCCGCAAGTAGCCCCACCCCGACACTGCTGCCGGCGCCTTCCAAGGCGGCCTGCGGTGTTCCGGGGCCCCCCCGCCGGGCCAGTGCCGTCCTTGCCCTCCACCCCAGCCCAGACTGGTGGTGTATGCTGTGCGGGTGGGTGGGGCCAGTAGATAATACGTGAGCGGGGCTCCTGGGAAGTGACCTGCTGGTGGACACAGCCAGGGTGGCAGAGGGCGGCCCTTACCCTGCAGCATCAGTGCCTGCTCCTGCCTGCTGGGGCCCTGGGGCTCCTCTGCTTCTTCTTCCAGCCCCAGAACCCAGTGTCTGTGTGTTTGGTTTTGTTTTTTAAATAATATTTATAACATGGCCGGTGGCTCTTTTGTCTTTCACATATGCTGCCGGGCCAGGCCGGGCCGGGCCACCGGTGGCCAGCAGAGGGCAGCAGTGTCCCGCCGCAGGCCAACCTCCCTTTGTGTGACTGGGGTCCACCCACCCTGGCTCCCACCTCCCCCAGGCAGATGGCAGCTCTCCCCAGACTCCTTCCCACCCGGGCCGGGCCGGGCCACTCTGAGGCCGCCTCGTCCCCCCGCCCCACTCAGAGAGGAGACAGGCAGGCCTGGTGCTTCAAGCCTTTGTTTAAAGTGGGACGGTCTGAGGTTTATGTACAAGAGAGAAGGGAGGTGGTACATGTACAAAAAAGGAGGGGCCCCTGTGTGCCTTTGTAGGGGCTGAAAAGAAATTGGCAGAGACGAACAACTGGTCAGCTTAGCACCACCAACCTCCTGCCAAAGGAGCCCTGGCTGAGGAGAGAGGGTGCGGGTGACGTTGCCAGCCTTCCTCCAGCCAGGCCGACCTCCGCCTCCACCACGCGCAGGGCAGGACTGGCTCAGAGAGAAAAGGGCCCAGGCGGACAGGCTCTCCGCGGGACCCCTGCTGGGCACCTCTGTGCGGGGCCGGAGGGGACCTGATGCTGCAGGACTTTGTGTCTCTGGCGCGCAGCTGACCGTGGGGCGGTGAGCAGGAAGGGGCGGGAAGGTGGACTCGCCACCCGCTCTGAAGGCAGCAAGGCCTCGGTGCCTGGTTTTTAAGGCTGCGCGTGTTGTCCTCCCAGCCCCGTGCTGGCCCTTTAGGAAATAGTTGAAACCTTGGGGCAAAGTGCAGAAATGGAGGCACCAGGGAGGTGCCAGGTCCAGAAGCCCCAGCGCCCACAGCCAGGCGGCAGACACCAAGCACAGAGCTTCCTGTGTGTGCCCCGCCGACTTCGGGGCTCAGGGTCGAATGCCGCCGCCTCCAAGAGGCGTCAGTGAGGGCCTGGAGCCCGAGGAGGGCCACCGGGTGGTGCGGCGCTCTTGGCCTGCTGGCAGACGACGATGGGCTGGTGACGGAGGCCTGCAGGGAAGACAGAGGCCTGTGAGGAGGCGTGCAGGCCGGCCTGGCCCGCCCTCCGTAGACACAGCGCCGGCAGGAGTGGCCCCAGACAGCACAGCCACTCGCCAGGCTGAGGAGGGAAAGGCTTAGAGGTTGGAGGGAGGATGGGGTGGAGGTGGGGGCCGCGCTGATGGGCTCTGCGTTTTCAGAGGCCCGAGCGGGGGTGACTAGAGGCCACTGGGCCATCTGCAGAGACAAGGCAGAGCTCCACGAAGCCAGAAGCTGGACGAGATCCCGAGCAACCGGCTCTCAGGAAATGGATCCGGGGACACTGAGGCCCCGGAGAAGCTACCTGGAGAGCTGGAGGAGGCACAGCGGGCGCCGGGCGTGCGAAAGGAGCCTGCGGCGTCGCTCCGTGGTAGCCGGCCTCTCCTGCCCGCCCCGCAGAGCTCTCCAGCTCTGCCCCTCGCGTCTTAGTAGCCGGGACAGCGCTAGTGGAGAGACACCGCTTCCCCGAGGCACATGCAAGGAGAAAGCCATGCTGCTGGGGGCAAACGGAGGCGCCCGTCACCATGCTGCAGGTGGATCCCAGCCATGCAGAGGAGGAGGGCCTCGCCCGCAGGCATCCTGGGGGGCGGCATGCATTGGGCCGCTGCGGTGCCCAGTACCTGTCAAGGGCCCCACCGGGGTTAACAGTTTGACTCATCGTGGTGGGCTGCATCGCAGAAGAAGCGTGAGCCCCGCTTGGCGGTGCGGGCCGTGAAAGGGACACTCTTCAGCACTGTGGCCCAGGAGAGAGACAGGGTCAGGTCCCGGAGGTGGGGGTGTGGCTGGGGGCTGAGCCCGGGAGGGAAAGGGCCGCACCTGTGATGATGTCCTCGATGGTGCCGTCCTTGCCCTCGTACACGGGCCGGTGCTCCTTGGCCTGGCGCCGCCGCAGCTCTGCGATTAGCTCCTGCTGCTGCCACTTGTTCCGTTGGGATGGGGTCTAAAGTGGGGCATGGGAAGGGGAAGGGGGTCGTGGGGAGCCTGAGTGGACTGAGCCTGCCCTCCGTGCAGCCTGAGCACCGCCCACTGCCGGGAGCCCCCTCCCCCGGCGCCCTCCCAGCCCTCAGACTGCAGCCCAGGCCCTCTGGGTGGTCTGGAGCTCCTTTTCTGTCCTGTGTTCTCCGCTCCACCCACTCCTATTCCTTTGCCCTGTTCTCCAGGCCTCAGCTCTTGGTCCCACCCACCTTGGCATCCAGTTTCTTGGCTTCCTGAGCCAGCTGCTTCTCCCGCATTACCTCCTCCTGCTTTTTGCGGGCTTCATTCTCTTGTTCTGCTTCCTAAGAACCATGGGAGGTGGGGGTGAGGCTCGCAGGCGGTGAGAGGCGGGGCCGACAGGGTGGAGAGTGGGTGGCAGGGGGACGCTAACCCCAGGTGGCCACCCTGGAGGGGCACTTCCTGCTCCGAACAATGACAGGAAGGGCCTGGGCCCCCACCCTGCCCACCAGTTCACAGCTGAGAGGCCTGTGGCCGGCGTCCATCACTGCCTCCCAGGACTCGGAGGAGACGGAAAAGGCCCAGACTCGAGGCCCGCCCCTCTCCCTGCCCCAGATTTCTCCCCGTCACTCGTCACAGCAGCTCTTCCACTCACCTTGTAAGAACGAATGAACCGGACAAACACTGGGAAGAACACAGAAGGAGGTGTGGTCTTGGGGCTCTCACCGAAGTAGCGCACCACTGCGCTGTAGGCTTCCTGGGAAAGGGTGGCGCGTGGGTCAGCCCGGCCGGGGAGAGAGACAGGAGGCCCAGGGAGAGCAGACTCCGGGGCCAGGGCAGGAGCTAGCTGCCCCTCCCTGAGGACTAGAAGCGAACTTGGGGCTCCCCACGAGGACATCTGCGCCCCTCGACACACACAGCTCTCCAGACCCAAGCACCAGGCCCTCCCCAGGGCAGCCAGCGCCCCCTCCCCCCACCGTCCCTCCCGCCTTGCCTCGGCCGTCTTGGCATCACGCTGGAGCTTGTCCAGTTTGCCTTCGTTGGTGCCAAGGAAGTTGCGAAGGACGCTGTTGTCATGGATGCTGCACTCCCGCCGAATCAACTCCATGCCCCGGCCCAGCTCCTTCACGTCTAGCAGCACGTTCTCCAGGGACACTGGTGACCAGAGTCCAGGCTGAGGCCTGTCCAGGCCCGACATGCCTGCCCCCTTCCAGGCACAGTGCGCTCTGGCCCTTCCCTTCAGCCTGGGCTTTTCTGGGTCCTCACCCCTGCTGCCTGAGCCACTGCGAACACATGGGCCCGCCAGCTTAGCGGGGTCCACCTCATAGGCATGAGGACAGCCATGGTGGTGGAGAGGTCATGACCCCAAGAGCAAGGAAGGCGGAAGGCGGCCAGAGGCTGCTCGTCTAACGCAGCGGTCTCAGGCTTTTCGTGGATGGGGCAGAAATCCCAGCTACCTCCCATCGTGGGGGCTTTCTGGTTTCTGAACGCTTCCCACAGAGACATGCAGCCTCCGTGGCCAGCGGAGGAAGCTGGGAGTGGAGCGTCACAGCTGCCTTCCTCTGCCTGCGCTCACCGCACCCAGGTGGGAAGGGCTGAGCGGGCCTGGTGCCCACAGGAAGGCTCCCTCTGGGGTGGCCCCGCGGAAAGCTTTGAGGCAGTCGGACTACACGAGCCAGAAACAAAGGGACCCAAGTGTTCCCTCCGCGTGGCTTCCTGGGATTGTCCTGCGCTGGGCCCGAGGGCAGGCTTGCTCACCTGCTGCAGCCTTCTCCACGAAGTGCAGCTCGTGCCAGAAGTTAGCCAGGTCTGGGTACTTCTCCTTCACCGTCAAGGCGATGAAATGCAGCAGTGTCATCTTCCTGTCTGTGGACTTGGTGTCCAGCAGCTGGGAGAGGGGAGCAGGAAGCAAAACGGAGGATTTAGCACCCCGGCTCCGTGGTCACCGCCCCTCTGGCCCCGGCAGCCCCCGCCGTCTTACCAGGTCCAGGCTCTGAAGCTTGAAGCCGTACACAGCCCCTCGCTTGCTGCTGTTCATGTAGTTCCCCAGTGCGAGGATGATCTGCCCAGTGATGGATGGGCAAGGTCAGGTCAAACCCGAGGGCTCCTTCCTCCCGGAGAGCCCCGTGCCGCTCCCACCCCCTAACCCCCAGCCCCGGGAAACAGCAGCACCCCTGGCCACAGCCTCTTCCCACCTCCAACATCTGCTTCAGCTTCTGCGAGGACTTGACAGACGCGGAGGCCGCAATGATGGCATTGAGTTGCTGGAATGCAAACGAAGAGTTGCGGAACCAGGCCTAGGTGGGGGCACCCGGTGAGGGCGGGAAGACTGGCAGGGCAGGGGGAGAACAGCAGCGGGAGGGTCGTACCGGCGTGAGCATCTGCAGGTTGTCCTGGAAGTTGCCCAGGAAGGCCATGCCCGCCATCCGCTGGGTCAGCCGCTCCACCTTGCTGAAGAGCAGCATGAAGCGGTCCTCGGCGGCCAGCTCCTCCACGGGCTGCCGCTCCCGCTCGTACTGGCGCAGCAGCTTGACCTCGGCCTCAGTGGGCAGGAAGCGCATCAGGCACTCCACAAAGTCCACCGGGAGCGTCTGCAGGTCAAACCTGCGGAGGAGGGGGGACCACCTCAGGCCCCGCCTGCCCGCCTTGGCCTCCCCGCTTGTTCTCCAGCTCCCAGGACAGCCGGCCGCTGGCAAAGGACCCAGGACCCAGTCGGCAACCGCCACGCCCTGTTTAAGCCCCTTGGGCATCTTCCCTCCGCTCCCAGGGAGCCCTAGGACCCAGCGTGGCTCAGGAGGCCCAAGGGCAAGGGCGGCCCAGCGCTGCCCTGTCTCCTCTGCCCCTTACGCTAAAGACGCCATCGCTCTCCAGTCCTGTTTCTCCCTGCAGGCCCTGCACTGGACTTCATCTGCTTCCTTCAGGTCACAAGGGAGACAGCCCCTCCCGGGCAGCCTGCCCTGACCACCAGGCCCAGCTGGGTCAGTGGGTGGCTGTCACCCAGTGCTGCTGGGC